TGATGGCATCGGCCAGCGTGGTGGGCTGTGCTTCAATCTGCTCCACCATCACCAGGCGTGAGCTGTAGATGGCCAGGATGTAGCTGGAGGAGTCGGCTGTGGTGCGCCCGCTGCTGCTGGTGGGGCTAGAGACTGGGGAGACACAGATGGATTCGGGGGGCGCACTACCAGGTCCCCACTTCCTGGGATCATCTCTGGGATTCCTGTTAACTGCTGCCACACTAATGCCGCCTCCAGATAGTGGGCCTGCTGCACAGGACACCCTGCTCCCCTGGCACTGCACACCCCCTGCTCCAGCTCCTCAGAGGCCTGCAGACACCGATGAGTGACCTCTCTCAGCACCAGAAGCAAGGCCTTGCTAACACCACTGCACAAAGGCAGAAACTGAGGCATCACAGGATGACATAACTTGACCCAGGTCACATAGTGAATCAGTAGCAGAACCAAGGATAGAGCCCAGGAATCCTGATGCCCAAATTGTGTCTGCAGTGGCAAACTGGGGGAATGGCAAGGATACCAGCCTAGCTGGGATGGGGGGCCTGGATGAGGGAGAGAGAGCTCTCTGCCCAGAGAGGAGTAGATTGGCAAAGCACAGTGGGCTTCCTACAGGCCTGGCCATCTCCCTCCAGCAAAATCGCAGAGCCACTTCCCCACTTCTAGCACTGGCCACAGACCTAGGGAGTGGGGAGCCTGAGATTCTCTGATCACTGCTTGGCTGAACCCATGTGCTGTAGCTTCCCAGGGCAACCTTCCAGCCCCACCTGCTGGACAGGAGACAGGTAATAAATTAGGTTGGGCAGAAAGACTTATTGTGGTGGTGGAGAACTGGCACCCCAAGTCCTACCTGCCAGAGTAGCCAGAGTTACACCCCCTAGCTCCTTCCCACCCCTCCTGAATGTGCTGTCTGCTGGTCTCACTCTCCCAACCCATTCTCCTCCACCCTGAGCCGGCCACTGCAACCAGTCATGTGCCTCACCCTGGGCGGAGGCTGTGTTCCAGTGGTTGAAGGCACAGCACACAACTGCGTACTCGCCAGGCTCCAGCATGACGTCACAGTTCACAAACTTCTTCACTGCCCGCTTGCTGTGCGCCATCAGCCGGCCCAGGCTCAGCTTGTTCCCACTGGTAAATGTGGCCCGGAATACCATGATGCACAGGTCTAGCAAATGGCTGTCCATCATGTCGGAGCGCCTGCAAGGCGGGAACAACTCAGGTGTGATCCATGCCCTGGCTTCCTCTGCTCTTGGGCAGCAATCAGATGAGATTCAACAAGGACAGGTGCTACAGACTGGGGAGTGAATGGCTAAGCTGCAGTACTGCAGGGAAGGACCTCAGGGTTACAGTAGACCATAAGATAAATATGAGCCAACAGTGTGCTCTTATTGCAAAAAAAGTTAACAGTATCCTGGGTTGTATTAACAGTAATGACATTTGCAAATCAAGGGAAGTGATCTGCTCACTCTATTCAGCACTCGTGAGGCCTCACCCAGCTCCTGTGTCCAGTTTTGGACCCCATACTTCAATACGGATGTGGATAGTTTGGAAAGAATCCAGTGCAGCACAACAAAAATGATTAGGGGTTTCAGAGTCAAGACTTATGAAGAAAGGCTGAAAGAGCTAGGGTAATTTAGTCTGAAGAGAAGACTGAGGGGGGATCTGATAACAGTCTTCAAATACCAGAAGGGTGACTACAGAGAGAATGGGAATAGGCTTTTCTCTGTGGCTGTAGAAGACAGGACTAAGAGCAATCGCCTCAAGCTGCAGCAAGGGAGATTTAGGTTTGACATTAAAATGAACTTTCTGACTATGAGGGTGGTCAACCATTGGAACAGGCTACCTAGAGAAATTGGAATCTCCATCCTTGGAAGGTTTCAAAAGCAAATCACATAGACACTTGGCTGAGACGGTTTAGTCAGGGATGATCCTACCTTGAGCAAGGCGCTGTGACAAATGATCTTGTGAGGTCCCTTCCAGCCCTACTTTTCCATGATCCTATAATTCCATTGTGGTAGGAAAAGAATGGGGCTGCTCTGTGTAAACCATGGGCTTGACCCACCTGATGGCAGGGCCTGGATAAGCTCTGCAGAGGCATTTCAGGCCCTGTTGCCGCATGACATTGGAGGTGTTGTAGGCTCAGAGCATAACTGATTCTCCCACTGCTTCACAAGCCTGTACACCAGATAAGGCCAGCTGAGACTGGTCTCATACCTGGGCTGCTCCAGACACTTGGGAGAGGAATGGCAGCTGCCTGTAACCAGCCCCTCCTGGAAAAGAATCCCAAAAGTCTTTCCGCCCAAAGAAGCAGGTAAGACTGTAATTCTGTTTGCTGGTGGGGCAACTCAGGCATAGACAGGGGCAGTGCCTTGCCAAAGGAGCCTGGGAATGAAGTCCAGGACTCCTGACTTCTGGCATGCTGCCTTAGCCCGTGGCCCATTCTGCCCGCTGCAGGTGTTTGGCTGATTGTAGGGCAGGCACAGGTGCCAGGCCCTGTTTCCTGGCTCACCTGCTGCCCTCCTGGAAGAGGGCAAATTCCAGCGTGGCACGCTCCAGCACTGTCAGCGAGGTCACTGTGACAGGCCCACTGGCCTTGTTGGGGAAGGTGCCCTGTACTCGAACCTCATGCCAGTCTGAATGCAGCTTGCAGATGTCCACTGAATCAAAATACCTGTGGGCAGGGGACGGACATTACTGTTGACCCAAGCAACAGCACCAGCAGCGCCAAACCCACCTGACAAAATCCCAACCTTGTCCCCACACCGGCCATGCTGGATGCCATTCTCAAAGCAAAGCCCTCAGACAAGCACTTTGGGGACAACGGAGGGTGCCTGGAAGGGGAAGCGCACACCCCTTGTTTCAGTAAAGCTTTGTTTCAGGCTTTGGCAGGAGGGTTGGTCAATGGCCAGATATCTCAGGTATGAATGGAAAGACCACTGGGCTCAGCCCGGGGCACCCCTAGAACTAGGTTAAGCCCTTACAGGGCTGCAGAGAGCTGCTGTGGTGTGGAAAGCTGAATGTGCCTCCAGTGGCCTGGCCAGTAAGCACTCAGTGATGGCAAAACCCACCTGAGACCAAAATGTTCCAGCACCTCTTGGTGTGGGAGAAACCCAAGGGCTCCCAGTGGAAAGAGTAAGTGTGGAAGAGACTGAGAAAGAGAAAAGGAGGAAAGCAGCACTCAGGTGTGCAGGCAGGGCAATTAAGAGCCATTACCCCAAACCTGTGCAGCCCCTCCTCTTGCCAGGGGTCCCCAAAGGATCCCACAGGGGTGGAGAAGGGAGAGGGCTCCTCTTCCTCCAGGCAGCAGTGAGCCAACTGACACTAGGTGGCTCCAGAGCTTCGCATTTAGAGAAGAGCCATCCTGGAGGCACAGCCCAGGGAGCCTCCACCAGGTCATACAACAGGAGCCCTCCTCTCCCTCAGCCCTACACAGAGCCCCACTCCACCTGCTTACAGACTGCAACAGACCCAGCAACTGCTGGGAATGACAGTGTTTCCCCACATGATTGGCAGCACATGCCCAGGAATTGCCAGCATCGCACCTGCCAGAGCCCATCTCTACAAAACTCCTTCCCCCATGCTGCCCATCTCCAGCCCTGCTTAAAGTATTAGGTCCAGCTTGGTGATAGCCTGAGGCAACATGGGCGAGCAGTAAGCAGTACAAAGGGCCCATGCACTGCCCTGGTGTGGCTTAGCTCACCATGCTCCCATTTCCACACAGACTGATCTAAGACAGTGACAGGGAGAACAATGCTGAGTCCGGTCAGCTGAGAAGGGCCCAGGTGCCAGCGTAAGGGGCGCCTTTCTGCCCTGTGTTACCTGATGAAATCGCTGTACTCCATCCAGAAGACGCCCTCACTGCTCCCGTGCGGCATCAGATCATGTCGCAGGTGTGTTGGCCAGTGAGGCCAGTCGTCGGACCAGTCACCATTCCAGGAGAAACGGCCCCAAGGGTTACGGAGCCGTAGGAGCCTGGCAGGGCAGAAGCACAGACATGTAGAATTGGGAGGGATGCAGTCGTGCTGGGTGAGGGGCAGCTGTGAGCCCCAGGGCCTGTTCATCACCCAGGAGATGGAGCCTTGACAACAGGCAGAATCCTGGGAACCACAGGGCTCAAAGCCTGGCCTGGCCCAGTACAGGCAAGGGCTGTGCAACCCTCCCCAAGCCCTTCTGCCAGCACACTAGGATCCCACACTGCAGCACCCTGCTGGTCCAGCCCTGGGCTTGCACACACAGTCTGAAATCTCAGCTCTGGAGAGGCCACTGGCCCCAAAGGACCAAGCAGTGGAGTGTTTTGGATGAATGCATCACAGCAAACGCTTTAACAGTGGCCCAAGCTGGAGTCACTGAAAGCAAGCCTCTAGGAACAACACCTGCCATAGTGCCCTGAATGGTGACAAGGACAATGCATCGGATGTGTCCAGCTCCATCCCCAGGCCTGAACAACCTCAGAGAAAGCATCTGCATTACGCTGCCCCACAGGGACGCCATGTGAGAAAACCTACTGTAGGTTCCTTCTCCCCTCACCCTGAAAGATCAAGGGGGCTGGTTTCACTGGATCTGGCCCAGCTAATAGCCAGGGGGGCAGGAGGCTGCCCTGGTGACTCAGTGGTGCACCAAGGTGCAAACAAACTTGTGCAACCCCAAGACATGCAGTAAAGCATCTGCTGCCACATGGAGGGGAGACCTAGCGACTGGTTTCCTGGGGTCCCCGGGTGTCCCAGTTAAAAGGGGATGGGACCTCCAGCATCCAGTTCAGCATGGATTCTCCCTTATCTCAGCATCCCACCCACAGCCTCCTGATACCCCTTCTCTTTTCTGCAGGATTCCAGATGGCCTCAACACTGACAGCTTGTTTCCAGCCACAGCCTGACTCTCTCATGCACCAAGAGCTACTGATGAAGTCTCTAACTCTCCTGTCCCAACAGCAGGGTGACCCTGCCCTGCTTGGGGACTTGGCCCCCACACCCTGGAGCTGCAGAGAGGTTGCCTGAATGTCTCTGATATGTCACCTGAAGCCTTGCACGTCCCGTACATCCAATATGGAGTAAGCGTGCCGCGGGCGAAGGCCCATGCTCTCGTAGGCCGCGTCATCCACCTTCATGTTTCCGCCACCACAGGATGCGCCCATTAGAAACCTTCAGTGGGGACCAAGGGAAGAGGAAGGAGAAACAGTGGAGATTGGCATCACCTGCTTGGTACCAATGGGACATAGGATGAGCTGGATGTGACTCTTCTACCTGAGCCAGGGTTAGTCAGTTATTCTGTACCCCCCGGTGGAAGTTCCCACTGTTACTGTAACAGATGCCCTGTTGCCGGCCACGATGCAGGCTAGGACTGCTGGAGCCAGCCGCTTCTACTCCACTCTTAGGAGCTTTCACTCTCTGCTCTGACCCCATCCCACCAACCTCTGCCACAGCCTACGGCCTGTGCAGTGAACTGGCAAGCCTGCCTGAGGCAGAGCTCTCTAGCATTTCAACAATGCACTGTAATTCACACTGAGGTCAATAAAGACCCTGGAGGTGTGAGCTTCCCCACAACAGCACTCTAACTCTCTTACTTTTTTTAAACTTCAGCATATGAAAGAGAGACCCAGCTCTACCCCACACATAGCCCTCTACCAGCTCTTCAATCCTAACACTACACAGGCAGAGCAGCATTGAGAGGAGACTCATAAAACAGCAGCCACTGGGAGTGAGGATGGATGCAGCCAAGGCAGCCAGGGGAAACCATGTTCTATGTACCACAGAAAAGCCAGGGAAGGCTTTGCCCAGAACCAACAGTCTCAGACAGGTCATTAGAGTTGAACCACAAACACCAGCCCGATGCCTTCTCCTCACAGATCCACCCTTGCCTTGAGCTTGCCAGGGTGTAAGGCATTATTCACACCTTAAGCCAGGCTCATCATCCTGGCTCACCTCTTCTCCCTGTCAGAGAAGACCTGGCTTTGACCCAGCCATTGCCAATATCTGTGGGTTGGGCCACATCAAAGAGGCATGCAGAACAGGAGGCAGCAACCACCCTAGCTACTTGCCTGGTGATACAGCCTGATGAGACTGTAGGCCCTCACATACAACACTCCTGTCTGCTTGGATTGAGGAATAAACCCAATCCAGGCTGGAGGCTAGTGTTATCCTGGGTCACACCATTATAGTCACAGAAAAGCAATACATGCTGGGATAGGGAGTCTCCACATACATGCAGTACACACACGTTAAAACTGATGGCAGTCAATGCACTGTATTGCAGAACATTATGGGTCATGTGGTCTGGTTTAGCCCCTCTGGTTTCAATTCTAATGGAAATAACCCCGTTTTCCATAGCTCAGCAGCATCTCTGACACCTAGCAATCCAATTTCCCTCCCACACGACTCAGCCTGAATCTTCCAGAAATGCTCTTAACTGCAGATCCACATGGGCCCTCTCTTCTCCTAGTCTTGTTTAGCTCTGGACTGACTTCACTCCTAATTGCAGCTTGTTACAGATAGCAGAGCTGTTATAACCCAGTAGGGGAATCTGCAGGGTCAGGCCTGCTGTAACACAGGAGATTGGAAAATAAAACTTGATCAAAGCAAAAACAAAGTTAGGTTAATCATCAGCCATTTAGAAACCCACAAAGAATGACACTAATTATGCATGGGAAACTCATCAGGGTTTTATCTTCAATATGAAAACAAACAAGGAGAAATTAATTTCCTAGCACTATACCCATGGGCCTTCTGGCAGCATCTAAGATGGCTGCCAAGTGTAACAGGTTACAACCTGAGTTAACACTATCCTCTCTTCTCTGAGCAATATGAATGAAAGCTGCCACCCTAGCCTCTCTTCTAGGATCTCTATGCTCCTGACAACTCGCATGAACCCCTCCCGCCTCGTCTTACCCAGCCTCCTTAGAACTCAGCATTTTGGCCCAGATGAGGTCAGTGTCAATGGGCTCCTCGCGAGGGTTAGTGGAGCTGACCTGCAGCATCAGGCTCTCGCAAGGGGCGCCGGTTAGCGTAGCCAGGCCTTCAATAGCACGCCCTGCCTGGAGGGCAAAGTACGAACCATGTAGCTTGGCCAGAGCCTTCTCAATGAGGGCTACCCACAGCTGCTTCCTCTGGGCCTGCGAAAGGGACAGAGACAGGTTACAATTCACATGGCAGCTCCACAAAGAAACAGCAGATAACACCTGAACACAAAACAGGCATGGATCCCCTCAGGCCAGGCAGGATACTTGCACTAAAGCTACCATGGTCTGCTTATCCAGAGTCAGCAAGAAGCCAGCAATGGTGGCAGTCACAATGAGTTACTTATGGGGCCAAATGAGATCTGTACATGATCTGATCAGCATCTTGTGCCCAGGAAGTGATTTCCCCCCTCTCCCACTCTGGAAATGCATTGGAGCAGAGACAAGAGGCTGCGATCGCTTTACAGCCTGCATGGTGCATTGCACTGCACTGTAAATATATATTTGGACAGTTCTTTCAAATGCAGGCATTATTTCCATGACAGGCTAAAGGCCCCATTTCCCAGTAAATCTAGTTTTAGGAATGTCTAATAAGAAAAGGGGATTTCATACACATCCTGAATGCCTGGATTTCAAATGCTCCCCTCCCACCCTCCCTCCTACAATGGCTCCCTGGATTAGGCAGCTGAGAGAATATTTGGAGATGGAACCAATTACATTTCACACGCCAGTGAGGCAAGGTTCTTCAAGGACGAGTGGATGACAGCACGGAGATATTAGAGACACTGAGGCAAACTTTTCTCACCCATGGCATGGGGACAATGTGGAGACTTAATTAGATTTAGCACACTTTACAAATGGAGCTTACCCTTAAGTCATTTTGATATGGTGGTGGGCTGACGCTCTGGCATCGTTACGCTGATTATATGTTCATAAATAAATGCAGGGAATACATTACACTCATGAAAGCAACTGGCCCTTGTTCAAAGGTCCCATCAGGAGTGACAGCTAAGCCACACTGAACAGTCTCTACTGCTGTTGTCTTGGTAGCACCTAGCAGGATGGGGCTCTGGCCTGGGACCGAGGCTCCTAGGTGCTACCTCAAATACATCAGCATGTGGCATACAGTTTATGAGATGACTGAAACTCACTGCAGACACAAGAACACAAATCCCAGCCCCAAGGGGTTTACAGTCTAAGGAGAGTAAACAGCAGACAAACAGTAGGTGAAGGGGTCAAACCTAGAAATGAAGCTGCAGAGGTGCTATTTGGTGCAAGTTTTGTTAGCCTGTATGTTTATACATTTGAAACTGTAACAGAAATCACTACCTGCTGGCAGCCTGGCTTATCTTACAGCATTTCCTGCAGCAGGAATGTACATACTTTGAGATCCACAGGTGAAAAGGAAAGCAACATTCAACTGCTATTTGCCTTGGATGACTTGGGGAGATTAGAAGGTGATATGCCAGAAAGGAGGAGTAAACTGGGGTTGAACCTTTTGGGCTGGAAAAGAAGAGCTGGGAAGGCCAGAAAATGCTTATTGTTTGTTTTGATTTAAAAATTCCTCTTCTCCCATCACCATCGAAACTTCTATTTATTTCTTTTTGAAAATCTATGCAAGTGTGCCCTGAGGTGATACTACTTTAACATTTTGGCTTTTTGTTCATGTTGAATAACACTTATAACTCAAACACTTAAGAAACATTCAGGAAAAAATTCTTTTTCCTAAAAATGTGACACATATCTTCAGCCAAAGGCAGACAAAGCTCAATCTACACGCAAGACTTGCAACAACACCTCCAGCAAAAGCATGAAAGGCAGACTTGACATTTTTGTGACAGAAAGAAGTAGATTTAAAAAAAATCTTATTTTGATAGTAAATACATAAATAAGGCTCTCATCAGCCTTTTCCTATGCATACACCCATGACTGCCATTTGCAGGTTACCTTGAAGGCTATACCCTTAAAACTGCATCAGCATTTTTCCTACACAGCTCTCTGCACATGACCTGAGTTTCAAGGCAAGTCTGCAGAAATCAAGCCTTTCATTTTTGTGTCATTCTAAAACAAATGTTCAGGATTACAGCACACAGCCAAATCCTACAGCACACAGCCTGCAAAGATCCAGGATGCCTCTTTGCATTCCCAAATTCACTTCCATCTCCAATACAGGGGCCATTCAGTTTGTCTGGAGAATTGCACTGTCTGTCTTTCAATAAAGATGTTTTTAATTGTATCTCTGCAAATGCTCCCAGCAGCAGCCTCTGAGCGTGTCAGGCTGGGCAGGGACAGAGTGTACTGATGACCCAAAGACTTCTTGAAATCACATTTCCTGCTGACCTCGACTGAGCGTGCTTAGAAGTGACTGTACCATGGCTCAGATCACTTCTGATGTCCCACTCGAAGCAGGCAGACAGCAGGTGTCAACAGGAACTGTGCTTCTGCCTCCCATCAAACCTTGGCCCCTGTCTGCAGGGAGCTCTGGCAAAAGTGGGGGATAAAACACTGTCTCACCCCCCGCACTTATCGTAGCACAAAAACGGGTCAAAACCCAAATAGCCTTTAAGCAGAGAACGCAGTAAGGAAACTTCCAGCTCCAGAAAATTCAAGGTACATGACACTCAAGGGGCTCTGCAATGAAGCCTGCTTTCCAGCCCTAAAGCAGGCACCATTTTCAGGGTGGGGGCAAAATGCATCTCAGTAGCCAGGGGTGACTGGTGCCTCCTGAGCATGGGGGGGCACAATTTGTGGGCAGGCCCGGGGGTGGGACAAAAGCTCCTGTACTTCTGTGCTGCAGCTTAGTGCCCTCCACCAACACACTCCCAGCCCGCACAGCAAAAAAACTGCCCCGTCCTGAGTGGTACCAAGTCAGGGGGCAATCTCGGTGGGGTACATGCCCCCCTGTGCTCCCACTACCAGTCACCTGAGTCAGTAGCACAGCTGAAGACCAGGCTCTACACCTGGGGCAGCTCCCTGCTAACTTATCCCACAGGACGGACTAAGGTCAGTCCCTCAGCCCCACAACTGAGTGGGCTGCTTGAAATTAGCCTGATCTTCCTGCTGCGTTACCATCCTCTATTCCTGTGAGCTCCACTGCCCTCTCCAGCCCCATGGAGTCAGGGCACTATTTAAGCCCTCTGCTCCCTATAGCAGCTAGCTCGGTGGCCAAGGGCTTTCATATCAGAGCAAGGACTGACCTGGGAGAAGAGGAGGTAGCCGCACTCATCACATGGCAGCATGTCATCCACCAGCACTGTGGTCCACGTGCCGTCCTTGCAGAGTCGCACCTGGTAGGCCCCCTCTGGGCACAGTGTCCGTGTGATCATGACCCTCTCCACCAGCTCGGGACGCTCTGCCAGCACTGCCAGCGCACTCAGGAACCTGGGGAGACATGAGATGAAGTCCATGCTGGGCATCTGTGCTGGATCACTGCAAAAGGACTCTGAACACTGCTGCCTCAGGCATTGAAGAGAGAAGGGCCCAGCCTCCCAAAGCCACAGGGCTGAGGGGCTTAGGGGGAAAAGGAATATCACCACTAGGGCTGGCTCCAAAGAACAATTTAATACAACCTGGGCAGACCCCACGTAGAGCCAGGGGCTTGTTAAATGCTCCCCACGATACCACCGGGCAACTTAGTTGAGTCCCTTCGACATAACTGGAGAACCTAAAGGAGAAAGGTGCCCAGAGGAAGATTCATGGCTTCTCAGCAGGCTGTGGTGACTCCCCAGCCCAGATCACCTGATGGGAACTGGGCTGGGGACTCTGACAGCAAGCTCAGCACCTGGTTCACATCCAGCCATGAGGTTCCTGGAGCATTCTGCTCACTGGCTCCCATGAATGCCCCAAAGCCTTCCCTACCTTCCTGCTCTAAGAACAGCAGTAGTGAGCAGTGACCAGGCCAGCTATGCATAGGAGCATGAACCGCTGGGCACTGCTAGTAGAGGGCACTCAAAGCTAGCAGCCAGCACATAGGAGAAACCCTGCAAAAGGGTGACCAGCCCAGGTGACCAGGGAAAGAGCTGGCTTCCTGTGGTATCTGGGCACCTGCTGCCAAGTTGAGTCTCGGCATTCATAGGAATCACAAGAACAGGCAGAGCTGGCTGCAATTATGACATGCACCCTGAAAAGGAGGGGAGGGCTCCATTTTGGGGCTCAGGCCAATCAGCAGCTGTTAGAGGAGATCTCACATAGGCAGATAATCCTACCCTGCCCTTTGTGGGATTATGCACCTCTCTCGGAAGGACCTCATCCTGGCCCATGCAGGAGGCAAGATCTTAGGTAAGCTGGACCTCTGATATGACAGTCCAGTCATTCCCAGTCCTGCAGCCACCACTGAGGGACAGGAGACCATGGAGAGAATGGGGGTTGGGAGGGATGAGTTCTCTGGCCCCTTCTAAACTGGTCTCGGAGGTGGCAGGAATGGGAGTCAATGCAATGTGGAGGAGGAAATGAACCTGGAATAGGTGCTGGGTGGGGGAAAGGAACCTAGACAGTAGCCGGTGGGGGGGCAGAGGAGGGGGAGAGGTAACGTGGTGGGATGACAGCTGGTGGCAGAGGAATGAGACTAGGGTCTATAATGGGGCATGAGCCACAACAGAGGGTGGGACGACATCAGAGGGTAGCAGAAGCCTAGCAGGATAAAGATCTGATAGGGGCTAGGTGACAGGCAGCAGGCTCTGTGCCTGCAGGAGCAGAGGAGGGGGCTGTGCGGCCCTGGCATGCACTGCCCCTTACCAGCAGTTTCCCAGCAGTCCCTGCAGGATGTCCGAGGGCCGGGGTGTCCGGAACACCGACCACTTGACAGACTGGTCCTTGAAGATGCTGCAGTTGATTTCGTGAGGCCGCAGCCATTGCTTCACTCTCTGCTGGACACTGTCCCCATCCGGGAACCCTACGGATTTGGGCCCAGGGTGGAAACTGTCATCCACAAAATTCACCTTGTTCTGCAAACACAAATCACATGGGCAATGACACCAAGCAGTCCATGCTACACAGTGGTCCTGGCCCCCCAAGCCCACAGCTATTCACAGAGGCAGGTCTCAGGTGTAAGTGCACCACTCAGCCCAGGTAAGGAGGGCAGCACTGCAAAGGCTGTGTTAAGCCAGGTGGCCAGAGTCAGGTCAGTGGCAAGAGCAGAGGGTCATTAGACATTCCCTGCTGCAGTAAGAGTGGGAGTTTCTGAATAAGGCAGGGCTGAGGGTGCAGCGCAGAGCTGACCTGTGTGGAGGGGCCCATCCTGTGACTGCACATCCCTTAGGGGAGGTTTCGAAACAGACAGAAATCTGCATGGCTCAGACTCTCACAATGGGCTGGAACTAACAGGAGAGACAAGCCCAGAGGCATTTGCTCACGAAGCAACAGCAGTTTTCCCATGAGTCAATAGGGAGCTCAGGAACCAGCCTTTTCACCCCTCCTCTTATACTGACACCAGGGTATACAGCACACCTTGTGCATGCACGGTCACCACAACGATGCTTTGCCATCTGCTACTGCACTCAGGATGCCTGGGCTCAATCCCCAGCTGTGCTAGACTCCCTGCATGTCCTTGGACAAATCACTTAATCTCTCTGGGTCTCAGCCTCCAGCTGCAATGTGGAGATAACCAGTCTTCTTTTGTCTCCCATTTCAACTGTAACTTTTTCAGGGCAGGAAGTGTCTCTCACTAGGTGTTTGCCCATCTCCTGGCACAGCAGGGCCTCAAGGGGCTCATATAAATAACAGCAGCAAATTTTCCAGGCAGCCTTTGCCTGAAAGCATCTGAACTGTCATGACTCCATAGCAGCCAAATGTTCACATGCGGACACTCACGTGTCCATTAGAAATGCTGGCCACACTCTAAATTAACAGCCTGCCTTAATCCAAATTAACTTCCAAGCATAGACAAGTTTTTAGGTTTAGAGCATAAAGGTTATCAAGGAAGCCAAAACTAACTGAGAGGAGAAGTAGTGCTTAAAACAGGGTGATTAAGAACCAGGATATTTTTGTAATTAAAAGAAATCAAACTGTTATGATTAAAATCCAATTTGATATAAATCAATTTTTATATACATAAGGCTGGTACTTTCTTCTCTTGTTATGGTCTTGAATCATTAAAATAACTGCTTTGTGTGTTTTTTTTTCTTTAACAACCACCTCCTAATTGTTTAAAGAACCTCATATTTTACAAAGGTGTTCTTTCTTAAGTGGGAAATTTAACACTTAAAATATTCCTCTAGACCAGGGGTGGCCAACCTGTGGCTCCGGAGCCAGGTGAGGTTCTTCAGAAGTTAATATACATCTCCTTAAATCTTTGCACAAGCACGCAGTGACCAGCTTCCAAGTGGAAGGAGATGCATATTAACTTCTGAAGAACCGCATGTTGCTCCAGAGCTGCAGGTTGGCCACTCCTGCTCTAGACCAAAGAAACAGAAGTCCTTGGGACTCATCAATCTTCTCTACTGGGAGAGCACCTGGGAGAGCACCACGTCCTCAAGACAGAACTGATGAGGAAATAGCTGGTGCTGAATTTGCAACCAACAACATCTCCCAATATCTGGAACTTGTGCCATTATTTTTGTTATCTGCCCTGTGGTAAGACCCAGTCATGGCCAGGGCCCCATTGTGTCGGGCAGTGAATAAACACAGAAGAAAAAGATGGTTCCTGCCCCAAAGACCTTGAACAGCCAAGAATGCTGAAGTGCTTTGGCCAGGTTGTCTTCTACCACAGGGGCTGCAGTGGTGGGATATCTCTGAAATGAAGTGATGGCAGAGAGGATCCCAGGTGAAATCTTGGCCTCATTCAAGTCCACTTCCAGTGATTTCAATGGGGGCAGAATCCCAGAAGCGGTCTGAGGAAAGCACGCACAGGAGCATAAGCAAGTGGTGTTACAGTCCCAAGGGGCCTGTGTGCACCCTACACACATTGCTGATCCCAGGGGAAAGTCACTACTCCCCTAATGAAACCAATCACTCATTAACATTACCCTCTAGAAGATAAATCATGAGACCCAGACCTCCCCTGCAGCTAGCTTCACCTCATTGGTTTGGCTATGGCCACAGCCCTGCATGGACCGCATTCCCCTGTAAGCAGAACCCTACCAATTCGTTATTCTTCATGTTTAACTCCTAGTCTGTTTCTAACACATGGCTTGCCCTGTGTTCCACTGGCAGGGTCCTAAAGTCAGCTAAGACCTCCCCATTTGGCGATGCTTTCTCTTGGCACAATACTCTCTCTCAGCTCTGGGTCTCCCTGATGCTGGTCTGGGCAGGGATACTATTTCTTATAGTGCTCCTGTCTGCACTTCTGCCTAGGCATGTGCAGGAGACTTGCACATTCGTATGGCATTAGCTGGTAACATCACCTCCATTCTAGAAACACCCCAAAGCTACTAAGCTCGCTCAGTTATTGATCCACATGTGGTTACTGAGAGGCAGGAGGGATGTACTGCTATGCTGGAACCCCAAAGAGTTAAACACTATGTCAAAGACCGGTTTGAGGCTGCCCGTTCCACCCCTGGTCATTTATTTATTTGCTTTTCAAAGAGTTACATAATTAAAGCAATTGTGCGATTAGGAATCAATGACTCACACCTGTGACCTTTATCTTAAGCTGCTAACAGAGCCAAGCCAGAGCCTGGAGCCTGGCTGCACCTGCTCTTGCTGAGGATTGCACAGGGCTGCCTGAGGGCCCTGCTCAGCCTCGACTCTGCTGGTTTTGCCCTTCCAAAGGAATCTGCAGGGCTTGACCCTCTACACATAAAGGTGAAGCATGATATCCCTGACCTCAGAGTTCACTCAGTCCAATGCAGCAAGGCTAAGAATCAGACTCATGACATGGTCTGACAACTGCCTGATAACATAGTAATTAGGTCTTCTATAAGACACTTTCCTCAGAGATCTTAGAAAGATTTACAAAAGGTGACTCAATGTCATGATTCCCATTGGGCAGGGGGGAAACTGAGGCATGGGGACCTGGCAGGAAGTTACCCAAAGTCAGCGTCATAGCTGGGAACAGGTTCTCCTTGGCAAAGATAAAAGGGTCCTGGAATCTGAAGGTTCCACATCCCTGACCCTAATTCCAGGGCCTTAAGGGTTTTTTAGTGACCATGACCAAGGGGATGTCACTGGCTGGGGGAGGAGGATGCTTCTGAGAACAAACAGCCAGGTATAGCCCTAGAAGTGAACAGTGTCAAGGGGGAAAGACAGAGAAGGACAGAGACGATAGCTCACAAGACAGAGGAACAAAACCTGAGGGGAGAGACACATCTATAGGAAGGTGAGAAAAGGCACCGCATGGGATGGGAGAAGGAGAAAACCTCCACAGCTTGCCTGGAGCATGGCAGAGAGACCAGGACACATGGGTTCAACATCCTATTCAGCCACTGCTTCACTGTACAAAACTCCTGGATATGTCACTTCCCTCTTCCTGCCTCAGTTTCCCTGGGGCACACCGGTGATAAGGAGACTTGCTCCATTACCAGAACAAGCTCAGAGGGGAGACTGTGAGGGTTAATTAATGGGGCAAATCCTTGAATGTCATCCCCAGACTGACGCCAAAGGAGTCCTATCAATTTGCATCAGCCAGGGACCTGCCCCAAGATCTGTGTAGATGGGGTCACGGTGGTGGCAGGTGTTACTGAAACGAAGGAGAAAGGCAGGACTGCAGGGTGGAGACTGCAGTGGGACGAGAAGGGAGGGCAAGGCACAGACATGGGTTTGAGAAACTGGAAAAATATGCAATAGTTCAGTGCAAAAAGTTGGCAGGGGGAAAAATCAGGCTGCTGAGGGGGAGACAAAATCCTGCTCTGCTCTGGAGAACAGAGGAAGGGCAAAGCTAGACAGGAATAAAGCCAGGACCCTAATTTACTTATGTGCAGAGCCAGGGAGAAACATTTGGAAATGTACAAGAGAAACACGCGAGAATAAAAATGCCATCAGCAGTGAACTCAAGCAGAACTTCCCAGCTCCGCCGGCTGCAAGCATATGGAGCACGCTGTCAGGGGAGATGCTCAATGCAAACAGCATCAATGGGCTTCAAGAGCTTACTCAATATATTTCAGGCACATGAGGATGCTCAAGGCTAATCCAGGGGGTTGCGGCTATCCCAGAACAAACCAATGCTCTGAGCAATCTGGCATCCTGACTCCAACAGCATAACAATCAGAATGTATGGGCGACTTAAGGACTACTGAACACAGCAGCCAACAGAAGGCTTGAACCTCCTTTGAAAAACAGGCATAGGGCAGGAATGATTTCAGACTTTTGGGCTGCTCTGCTCTGAGCTGAGACTGATAATGGGAGGAGAGCAGAGACAACAGGACAGTACAAAGGGGTTTCTGAATGAGCAATTCTAGTTCTTTAACTCTCTGAAGTTGTCAGGAACCCACACTACCCTCTGCCGCCAACCTGTGGCAGGAGCTCTGATCAACTGGGTTCATTTGGCTCTACAATCTTGGATGAATGCCTTCCTAGCTACCAAGGAGGAATGCTCATTGCCTGGGCAATGGGGGATGGTAAGCAGCAGTCCAATAGTGTAACTCTTGGGGCCCTGACTCGTGACTTAAATCCTCGAGGTGGGCAATACTACTGCTCTTGCCATGTGTTTGTACCCACTGGCTGTCTCTTGCCCTGTGCTTGGACTAAAAGCTTTCTGAGACAAGGCTTTTTTGTTCATGTGTTTGTACAGTGCCCAGCATAATGATTCATGACTGATGCGCCCAGGTAGTAAATAATAATATTATTCTGTGTAACATTAAGTTTCAGAATCAACACCCAGTGAGATGAGCTGGGAAGTACCCATGTCTCAGACCTATTGTTTCAAGTTCCCTGCAGATTCAGGCAAGCAGCACATTGAGCAGAGCTTGCCAGAGAGATGCCAGGCTTGGCAGTCAAGAACCGGCAGGTCTCACCTCCCTCCACACGGGAATCCTGAACAAGACGAGGGGAAGGGGCAGGGGAAGGCTGAAGCTTAAAGAGTGCTCACCTCCCGGCAGAAAGTCACGATGTTTTCCCACAGGGCCTTGGCCTCACCCTCATCCGTTTGCCGCCTCTTCTCCACATGCATGCTCTCCCGCCTCTTGAGCGGCTTGGCACCCTTGCGCTGGGTCATGTACTGCTGGGGAGTGTGGCAGGCCACGCAATGCTTGGCCTTCAGTTCATTGAGTAGGGTGCAAGCAGGGCACGGCCACTGGTTCAGCCTGTCCTGGGCCAAGGGTGGCTGAGAGGGAAAGAGGCGGGCCACCTTGCGGGCCGATGGGGCCTTGCCACTGCAAGAGGCACAGCTCCCCTTGTCAATGCCACAGTCAGGACACTTAGGGGCTGATTCACTCTGCACTCCATGCTCCTGGAAGCCGTGCAGCTTGGAGGAGCCACAGGCCTTGCACTTCTGCACAAGCGTGGGGTTTTTTAGGGTGCATTTGGAACAGGACCATGTGGTAAAGTCAGGGCTTGAAGGGCTACAGGGGGTGAACCGCACTGAGTCACCTGCCAGGTCGATCGTGTCACTGCTCTTCTGAGCACTGCAGGCCTCACACTTGCTAGCCCCAGCAGAATTGAGCAGGGAGCAGGTGCTGCACTTCCAGTATGATGGGCTGACTTCCATCTCCTCCTCCAGTACACTCAGACGCTTGGTGCACAACAGCTCCTGGAAGCGGGCAACAGGGGGGACCCGGGCCTGGCCTTGCGGAGACCCCTTCTGCCCAGCTGCAGTCTGAGCCGTGGGCTGAGAGGCCTCGGATACCTGTGGCTGCAGCTGGGGTGGCACCTCCCTGCGGCTCCTGGGCACAGGGTTGTTCTGCAGGCCAGGGGAGAAGGGGCTGAAGGTTGGCATCTTCTGAGCATCCTGCTCCATGGCCGTGGAGCCCTGGCTGGCCACAGGGTCACTGTCTGTGATCTCTATAGAGACGCCAGGCTGAGGGGCGGCAGGGGCCATGTGGAACCCAGCAGGGGCAATGACCTCAGGGACCACCAGCGCCTCAGGAGGGATCTTGGGCAGCGAGAGTTTGCGTGGCCCCCCACAGGCTGAGCAGGAGTTGGCCACAGGTGTGTTGTGCAGCGTGCAGCGCTGGCAGGCCCAGCCATTCTCCAGCTCTGTCTCCTCAGGGCTCTTCCCACCTGACTCCTCACTGCTGCTCTCAGCTTTGTGCACATCCTCCTTGGAGATCCCCTTGGGTTCCACCAGCACAGTGGGCTTGGGCAGGACACCGTTGATGATGGGCAGTGGGGAGCCGCTTGGCCCGGGTTCTGGCATGAAACCACATACCTCGCAGGCCTCTTTGCCCAAGAAGTTTCTGAAGGTGCAGCGGGCACAGGCCCATTTCTGCTCCTCCACACTGAGCCTCAGGATGTGGTTGAGGTCTGGCTTCTGGCGGGGAGCCTCACAGATGGAGCACTGCCGCTGTCCCACAGGGTTCAGGAAGGTGCAGCGCGTGCAGGACCACTCCCGCACAGCAGCCATAGAACCAGGAGAGTGGGTGTGACTGCAAGAGAGCAGGAAAGGACACTGTTACGAGCAGGGAACATGAGGCAGTGGAGCGATGGGGGAGAGAATCACACCAGGCCCTAGCACCATGGGAGGAGGGGCTTCACACAACTGCTGACAGGCTCACATTACAGGCCAGACTCTTGGACCTTGTCTGCATAGGCCACGGGAACCAGCCTTGCCCTTGGCAGCAAACAAGTACAGCTGCTGTAGAAAAGCATGAACAGGGTTTCTTTGCCTGTCATAGACTGAACCTTGCTTCCAGGAAGGGAGCAAGCAGGAACCCAGTGTAGCTGTGCTCTTGGGACTGGCTTCTCTGGCATTGACAACCTATTCCTCTGAGTGCACAAGTAGTAAACTGGCACCCTACCAAATTTCTTAAGGAGTGGCAGCAATCCAACACTGTGCAGTGCCTGCCCCACCCAGACGCACCCCTCCAAGCACCCCTGGCTCCTGGGCCATTTATCAAGGAGCAGTAAGGGAGCCCCCTCCTCCCTTCCCCTCCCCTCCCCTCTAGCTTTACACTCAGCAAATTCCCCATATTAGCAGCACCTTTATGTGTAGTTAATAAATCTCCTGGTTAGTAATCTATGCACCATTACACCATCAAACAGCAACTGCTCTCCCTTAGCTGCCGCATGCCACATCCACGTGGCTGGAATACAAAGGAACTGTGGTTAGGCCCAGCGTTGTGGAGAAACACCCAGGTAGTGCATATGAGGACAAAGGCAGGGGAAGTACGTTGTTACTGCCACAAGGCGACAGACACATACAAACATACACAGATGTCTATCTTACTCCCAGAAAGAGAGAGTGCTCTTTTAGCTAACAACTCTGCAGTAGCGTGTCTGTGCAGGGAGAGAAATTGAGCTTGTAAAAGAAACTTGCCTGGGTGATCAGCAACCCCTTTAGCTTGAAACTGGAGCAAATTTCAACTCTGACATGTCTGTCATGGCATAAGGTAGAGCTGTGGGCACTGGGCCCACAGGTTTATCAGGGCAGTGCTGTACTTCTAACCCCCCACGCAACTCTGGGACTGCCCAGTTTCACTTCAGGTTCTGCTGCACAGGGGGTTTTGAATCCTAACATGGAACTTCTCCTTGGCAAAGATAAAAGGGTCCTGGAAGCACCTTCAGTCATCCCAGATTTTGTAAAACCCAGTATGTCTATGGGCAGCTTCCCGGACACTGTAAACACTGAGATGGGTACCACTACCTTACCTTTGCACTACACTTACCTTGTGTATAAACAACAAAAGGAGCATGATATGCACTGGGCTGCACTCTAATCTTATGTCACTTGCTAACATGTACAGGCAATGATACGTACAAGTGGTTGCCCTGTGCCCTGGGCCCAGCCCTGAGCCCTGAAGCAGTAGCGAAACTCAGCAGGCTGGGCTCAAAAACTAACTTCTGGCTTCTTTTTTCACTTAAGCAAGTGATTGTAATGTTAAAAAGGACACACTACAAAACTCCAGTCACCAAGCATGAGTTCCCCTCAAAGGGGATCACAGAATACCAAACTTAAGGCCCTTTCCCTGTGAAAAGACCCATGCTAGAAGACCTTTGCCTCCACTACAACTCTGCAGGTATGATGTGGGATTTTGCCCTTTCAGAGAAGCCCAGCAGCGACTTAGCTTGCACTGGAAAGGAAGATACCCCCAACCCTCCCTGGACGTTACACCTCACAGCACATCTCATCTGAAAGGAGGAGCTGCGCAGTGTACTCTGAAGCCTGACAAACTCCAGAAGCTTTGGACCACCCAGCAAGAGCAAACTCCAAATCTGGGGGACCTCACCGTGGGACAAGGTCCTGCGACTCCCTCACTGTTATGTTGTACAGGTTTGGGCTTGGGTTCCTCTACAGATCTCAAGCACAGCTGTATTGCCCAGGAAACAAGGCATCTCACCTCTTATATAAAGGCCCCAGAACTCAGATCTCTTCAGGTGAATACAGACATCTCAAACCCTAACCAAATACCCACCAGCAGCCAGAGAGGTGGTGTGATATGCCCTAGTAAGGTGCTATGCTGGTTGACTGTCACCCCAAGTATACGTGGTCTTGTGACAACAGAGGCATGTAACAAGGTAGTAAGAATCACAGGGGAGAGGAAAAGGCACTGCCGGCAGGTAGAGGCAAATGGGAATGGTTGTCCTGGCCAGTTCTGAGAGCCAGTGACCCATCAATAGCCTAACAGTGATCCAACAACACTCCCAACCTATGAACCCATGTGATCCAAGTGCAGGAAGGCCCTTCCTCCTCAAAGACCAGAATAACCTTTGTTCTCTCTTCTGCTTGCTTTACCCGCACTACCGACAGGACCCATTTAATAATAAGATAAATATCTTTAAAAGCAAAGCCCATTTCAGAGAATCAATTTAATTCTGAGAGAAGGAGAGAGACAGGGATATTGCAAACTCTTTATGGTATATATAACATTCTTTAATATTTTGTTCTTTACAAGGTATTTATTGGAGTTATTTCAGGAATCTTTCATAACAAAGTGAAATGTAAAAATTGATTTTTCTTCCTTCTGCCTTGAGTTAATAGAGCTGGGAGCCAGCACGAAATCAGCATCAGGAGCCACAGAACTCAGACAAATCTCTAGCTCCATGAAGTTGACACTTATGTTATCTCTTCCCACTTTTCCCATCTGCATACTTTATGTGTGTGGATACACACACACAAACACACACACATTTGTATAACTGCTGCTCTAACATGGCCCTATTGTGTTAGATGCTGCACCAACATCTAGGGAACGATGGCCTTGCTTCTAATATGTGTGCACCTGCATGGTGTGTGTACATGCACATATTTGCATGCACGTGTGCACACACGCATACACACAAGCAAGAAAAGGAAATCTGGAGCCCCCTGCCACTGTGCAACCCAGACATTGTAGGCATGTCTGCACCTTCTTGGTAGAGCATCCCCCACTCACTTGCTCACACGCTCCCACTCTCCAAGCACTAACTTCAGAAACGAGGTGATAAAGCCACCTCAAAGCAGCACTGAGCATCTGCCAGTGAACACACCTGACAGAGAGCCTGGGCTCACATTATATGTGCTCATGCCTCCTTTCTGGGACCTGGTGAGCAAAGCAGAGAGTGGGTGGGCAGGGCATCCTCCACATGTTGCTGGACACAGATGCCTGTGCATGCCCTTGCCTCAGTGCACGCTGTGAGAGGTGCAAGTAAAAGAGACACAGTACCAGGCTACAAATGCAAGGAAAGAATGCCTAACAGCCCTTTCCTCTATTCTCTCCCGCAGCACAGCCAAGAAGAGGCACAGACAACCTTGCACCACCTCAACTCCATCCCAGTCAGGGCATCAGCCTTCTGGAACCCCATCCCCCAAAGTTACCCACCCCCACTTCAGGGCTGCCCCCCCTCTTTCTGAACAGACTTGGGAAACAACTCACACTTGCATTTGGGGAGCTTCACAAGATGCGACAGGGCTGCCCACACCCACGGGGTCATGGCAAAACTATGCCCCCTTCCCACACTGGGAAGCTGTGGTGATAAGCTCCATTTGGAGTTTCCCAAAGGGAAATGTAAGCAGGCTCTCAAGTGGGAGGGAATGCACTGCCCCATAGACACTGAAATGCAGTCAAGCCAGGCCAGAGACACATGGACTGAGCTGTGGGCTAGGGGGGCAAAAGAGGAGACTCCAGGACTTAGAGCCCAGGCTGCAAGCTTGCATCTCTATATGGGGACCCTGAATCCTCAGGATGAGCTGTGCCCCAAGCCACTATCTCCACCCCACAGGCTCTGACTTCGTCTGGTTCACTGCTCACAGCACAACCCTCCCCACACATGCCCTCCACCCTGACATAAGCAGGGATCCTGGTTTTCTCTGTTTAGAATTTGCAAATTCTCTCATTAAAAATCCCAAAATCCACAATTAAAATGAAACACCACTATATGTATTGGCATCCACTGAACACAATGCTTTATTGATATATTTACAATTTTAAAACAATCTGAAAGCCTAGCAGTGCCTCAGTCACTATATTAAGATAAATTCTAAATACCTATACATTTTGGCACCTGATTTTGGGTTTTTCATCATGGAAAATCAGAGCTCCCCTGCCCCCTTCACTCACCAGGAGGTGGGTCCAGCTGAGGCTGTCCCCCCGCCACCAGTCTGTGGCACTGAGCATCCCTGATATGCCAGTGCCCTGCCCCTGCCATTGCTCCTCACCCCCAAGCCACAGCCCCACAGCCCTGCTGGTGCCCCTCACTCCGCACCCAAAGCCTCCCACCTTCCCCAGCCCTATCGGAGGGGGGCCCCCAGCTGGCAGGGCTACAGGGCCAAGGACCCAGATCCACAGCCCCATCCCACACAGCAGCTCCCGAACCCCAGCTGCTGCTGGTGGGAGGCAGAGGCTGCTACAGCCCCAGAGGGGACCATGGAGTCTAGCTCCCCCTCCCACAAGGGCGGGAGGGCCAGAGTGGAGCCCACTGGGGGCGAGGGTGGGAGCTGGCTGCCCACTGTAGGCTCATGGCTCCCCGCCCTGCTGCCCTCCCCCTGGGGCCTCCGTGGAGGGAGGGCAGCAGCTGCCATGGCAGGGCAGAGTGGGGAGGAGAAGCTTGATGCCGCTGCCACAAGCCCCACACTGCCATGGCAGGACACTGGCTGCTGCCACAAGCCCCACGCTGCCATGGCCAGTAGGGGTGGCGGTGGGGGGTTGTGCCCCTCTCTGCTGCCAGGCAAGCAGGGGGTGCCTGGCCATGGCAGTGCAGAGCTCCCAGCGGTAGCACCGAGCTTCCCCATCCAGCCCTGCTCTGCTCTGCCAGGTCCTGCCTGCTGGGCTGCGGAAGCCCCGGGGGGAGAGCAGCAAGGCAGGGACCTTGAGCCTGCAGTGGGCAGCCCGTATCTGTCCCCATCCCCACCCACGCACAAATCTGGAGGGTTTGTGCTCCCCATGCCCCCTTGGGAGTGTGTGCAGCAGTGGGGAGCTGGCTGTGGGCACCTGCAGGAGACATGGAGATTGGGAAAGGAACTAGACACGCCAGTCTCATGGGCTGGGGTTGTTCTCCGCAGCCCAACTCTTCTTCTCGCAACCACGGCAAATTCTGAGCCAACGGGTGTCCTCCCAACCTGCAGCTGTGACCCAGAAATTACCTTAAGTATGAGCCCATCAGCCTGCTAGTGTCCTGCTGGAGTCAACGGGGCAGGCTGGCTGCTTCAAGTTATACATGTGTTGGAGGCACTTTGCAAATCAGAGCCCAGGGAAGGAATATGAGCAGGAGGTGAGGATAAGGGATGCATATACAGCATGTGGACAGAGGACCCCTCCCAGGCCACCCCCTTGTGATCTCAGAAAAGAAAGGGTGCTCACTGCTACTACAGTGCCTCACTGACCTGAGGAACTCACCCCTTTGGGATGCTACTCAGAAAAAGTGCCGGACAATTTAAAAAGCGGCAGGCATCAGTCAGTACCCACAACAGCAATATTCAGAGACACCAGCTCACTGAGTGAACTCAGCAAGGGCACTGGATGTCATACAGTACGGCACAAAAAGATCACCACGCTGAACCTGGAGGAGGTGTTCCCAAGGACTTGCCCTATACAAGTGGGGTCACTCTGACACTCAGCACTGGCTTCCTCCTAGCCTACATGAGCCTTTGATCTGTTCCTACATGAGGGTACCAGCACGGGTCCCAGGCGGGGCCATAGGGAACATCACACTATGCACAGAGCAGGCTGTTCATACGCAGGTGTGCCCCTTGCTCTTCAGAAGACATCTCCCTTACAGCTTGGGGCTTATGCAGTGTAGTCCCACCTTGAGTAGCTCCTCTGCCCCACAGACTTTGGAGTGAAACTACCTTCCTGCTCTCTGAGGGTGGAGTGAGCAAACACCATTGGACGAGCCAAATCTACAGTGGGATTTCTGTGGCGGGAAACTCCTGGAGCTTTCCCTTTGGTTCCCAGCACAACCGCTTCCCTGGCAGAGGAGAGGTGAGCCCTTATATGCCAGACAGCTGGACTGGACACATCAGGCTGCTGGGCTTCTCCACAGCTCCTCACCTCCCCCTTTGCCAGCTCCTAAGCGATGCGGAAAGTCCAGCCATAGCAGCATGAAGCCACCTTGAAGAGATGCCTGTAGGGCAGCCCTCACCAAAAAAGAGCAGCCAAGCACACCTGCCTCCGGAGATACTCCATGCCGATACAATGCCTTGCCACCTGCCTCTTCCTAGGCCTCAACTGCTTCTGCTCCCCTAGGCCTTCCTGAGCTGCTGCAGACAAACCACCCTGACGCTAACACTGCCCAGTCCCCTCTCCCCACAGCTCTGCTTCCTCCTTAACAGGGGCTGTGGCTGAGG